AGGGAGAGAGAGAGAGAGAGTGGGAGAGATAGAGCGAGCGAGGGAGTGAGGGAGGGAGGGAGGGAGGGAGGGAGGGAGGGAGAGAGGGAGGGCACACAATCGGGACTGTGCTGAGTGCGTGGACGGACATGAGCGGGGATGCCTAGCTGGGCCTAATCAATCCCTGGTTACCTTATAAGTGGTCTTCGATATAAATAGTGGTCTGCAGTGTACGTATACCATAAAGGACCCCAAAACCTTGCTCCAATCAATAAGACCCTCATGTTCTACAACCTCTATAGAACCCTAGGAACCGCTATAAATGCCCGAGACCTTACTTATTCATGCCCGTACATTAGATGCGTCTCGGGTCGCATGGTTTCTTGGGAGGAATTCGGAGCTCCATGACGCTTCATGTCGCGTGAACAATGTAGGGTTCCGGGATGTAGGGTTTGTGGGGGCTTAGAGTTTAGGGGCAACAACGGTTTCTTTGCCTACTGGCGGAGGCACAGAGTCGGTGCCAGCAGCGCTGACATTTCCATCGAAGGCATTGTGATCCTCGACGCTGCCGTCAACGCATCAACATCTGCGAACTTATCCCAGGCTTCCGGAAGGAGGTAATACGAAGGACACGCCGCAAATGTTTGACAGGATGGAACCCGTTGGCGTGGTCTTTGGGCTTTATGCCAGTTCCATCCTTTGTGCCGCCTGCCCGTGACCAGTTCAGGCCAGCAGTGACCTCTATATCCAGACATCTGTGGAGGTGGTTAGCGTAGCCAACGCGGCCAACTCGTCACACGATGCTCTATATCGATGCCTACTTGCTCGTCAGCAGAATTCAACCTACCAGTACCCGAACCCAAGAATGTCGTACTTGGTACCCTATTTTTCAGGGTCAGGATCCGTTGATATGAAAATCGGAAACAGAAAAGGAACCACATCTGTGAGTCGAGGTCGTTTGGACCCTATAAACCTTTGTAAACCCTGTTTACCCACCTGTTCAGATGCCTGATCAAGGCTTTTCACACTTAGAGATATGGAACACTTAAAGTACAGGGGTCTGGTTAGACACAAGGAGCCCCTCGGAAGGGGTTGGTGGGCGGGGCACTCTCTGCGGGATGTTTCTAGAGCTCGGTCCCGGGTGTCGTACACCTTATTCCGAGAACTTCCCTCTCCCGACCCTAAACCCTAAACCCTAAACCCTCTAAACCCTAAACCCTAATCCCTAAACCCTAAACCCTAAACCCTACCCCCACAGCATCCGTCTCTAATTTAAAACCCACAGGCCCTCCAAGAGTTTGTGGGGCGCCACCTCTTCGTAGGCATTTCGCCCGGCTGGCGCCGCGGTTTCTGGCGCCAAGAAGCTCTGGGATCCGCCGCATGCCTTTGTTCTATGGGTGCTTCATGAGTTCCGATAAAAATTGTGGAGCCCTATGGAGGCTCTGTCAAAACGTCTTGGCCAAACCCCAAGCCAGCTACCGAGTATCCGGCCTCTGCGCCTTTGCATTAGGGTTTAGGCCGTATAGGGCGTACATAGTGTATACGGGCCAGGCGTGGAAACCCCTACAGAACCCATGTTTGGGTCTAAGAAGGGGGGCCCCCTAAAAGTCCTTGTGGGCCAAATACCAGGACCCTACAGAAAGGATCCTACAGTCGAGTTTAGGATTTTGCCTCAACATGAAAGTCCGTATGAATTGTACTGTTGGGGATCCGTATTGTTCTTTCCTTTTTGATGTCATTAAGGTAGGGTATGGGGGCGGGGGGGGGGGGGTTCCNNGGGGGGGGGGGGGGGGGTTCAAGTAGGGTTTATGTTTTGGGGTGGTGGGTTGAGGGCTAAGGTGCGGGTTAAGGGCTTTTGACTCTGGGGTTACTGACCCTACATTAGGGAGCCTTCGTAGAGCTATTCTGTTCACACAAATAACGTTTTTTGTTGGTTTATCTGCTACCCTATTCATTACCTTATTGGTGGAAGTGGTTCTGGTGCCTCGATCATGCTAGACTTCTTGCTTCATGATGAAGACTTTACATATTCTAAATGCCGAGCGGTTAAATTCCCTGAACATCCCTAACCCGACACCCTAGATGCGCTCTGGACGAAATATAATTTGCATAATTTCGATTGCACGATGCCGACTGCAAACCTTGAAAATCATATTTATGTCTGGTCAGAGTCTGCGAGTTTAAGAATAAGAAAGGCCCTAAATGCCCTTAAGCCTTAAGCCGTAGCCACCCTGCAGCCTCCGCACCCTAAAAATCTTCATCCCTGCCCAAATCCCGAGCGCCTCTAAGCCACAAAAAGCCTCAGCAGGCCTTGAACACACCAAAACCTTCAACCCCTGAAGGCTCCAGGCCCTAACCCCCAACCACCCTAAATCCAAAACGCCAATACCGCCACCACCAGTTCACAACAGCAAAAAACCCAGGTCGCAGAAACATTTTCTTCCAGATGCCGGGCTTGTTTGTCCAGGTGAGGGTGGGGGTGAGGGGTCGGGTACCATGGTTAGATTGCCTTCGTGGTTTTATAAGTGTATGAGTGGGACTCTATAGGGTTTTGGGTATGAGTTTACCGAGTCGTTTTGGGATGTGGCCTCATAGTTTGAAACAACAGTTAGCGGCGCTTGTTTCAAAACGGCTGTTGAGGGCTTTAGGTTCTGCTGCGGGCTGGCCAGACAAATCTAGCCCTAACCTCAAACGCAAGGCCTGAATCCCAAGCCGATCTGGTCTTTGGTGTGTTCGGACTTTTTTGGTGTTTAAGCTTTGAGCATCATTGAACAAAACAGAGCTTCAGTGTTACCCGAGGCAGCTCGCAGCTGGTCCAGTGTTTGGAGTGTGCTTCTTCCATTGAGGTCCATGTGAGAAAGCTGCTACAAAGAAGCGAAAAAAGTCGAAAGCAACTTCGCAAAGAAGCTCAAACACCAGGCACCGAGCTTTGCAGCCCTGAGCCCTACACCATGAACCCCCTTCCCCCCCCAGGTGCCGACTTTGTGAAGTGGCTGCAGGCGTTGACGAAGTGAGCTGGCGGAAACTTCGAGGTTTGGTTTACCCCCTAGAGCTCCAGTTGCTTCAATAGTGGGTTGCTGGGCTGCGGGCTGTCGTCTTATATGTATATATATATATATGTTATATATATATGTATTATATTGTATATATATATGTACAAACAACCTACTGTTAGGCAACTGGAGCCCTAGGGTTATAGAGTGGGTCCAAGACTGGAGGATTCACAGAAAGCTGAGGCTCACGGTTCTAGATTCACAGCCTGAGGGTCTTGTGCTGCATCTGGGCGTGAGGGCTCCGAGTTCGTCACTTTGATTGCCGCAGACCACACATGACACATAACTTGGGGCACATGGCGAGCTGCAACATGCAAGTCGAACTAAAAATTGTCAACACCTGGTCTTTGAAGCCGTAAGCCCATCTCGTCAATTCTGCCGGGCTGCTCCTTCGCAGCGCTCGCATCCATTGTCGCAGCGATCCGACACACGCCCTCCTGGCAGCCATGTTGTGTGTTAGCCGAGTGTCGGGCGAACCGGTCCTCGAGCTGGGAGAAGACGAGTTGGATGCATTGACATCAGATGGCGGTAGTGCAGTGCGGGCAGTGAAGCAACGTTTGAGGCAGGTAACAGGGATTGGCATCTTCAGGCAGTCGCTGGTTCATGATGGTTGCATGCTGGAGGAGAAGGATAAGTTGAAGTTTCCAATGGACCTGCAGCTGGTGGTCACGTCATGCTCGGCCAAAATGTCTGCAGCAGATTTTCGGGAAATGCAAAATGCTGTGGGCGAGAATGACACACACCGGCTCGAGGCTGTGCTGCAGAAAGGTCATGACCCGGATGCAACAGATGCTGACGCCAGGTACGGATTTGGCATGGCATAGTTTGCTATTTCTCTCGTTTTGGCCATAGAAACCTGACCCAAACTCTAACTATGAAAAAAATTCGGAGTGATCTGAAATCAACATCTAGGAGCACCAGACGTCCTTGCACATCGCGGCTTCATGGGGTCACATGGCCTCCACACGTTTGTTGATAGAGGCCCGCGCAAACCTTGGCATCAAGGACTCACCCAAATCATCCTAAGTACCTATATGGGGGATACTTATCCATACCATAATGATAATGATTCCGATTGTAACCGTAAACCTTAGACCCTAAACCCCCAAACCCCTAAACTACTGCCGAGAGCGCCCATGCAAATTGCCAAACTTTCCGGCAAAAACAGCAGGCGGGATCCAGGGCCATGTGAGGGCTTTCCCAAGGCTAGAGAGGCCTCCAGGCCTTCACAGAGCACAGTGTGCGCGGGATGAATGGGTGCGCCCCATATCGCGAAACAAGCGCACCCCACCCGCGCGCACGCTGTACCCACACCCTTAAAGCCTAAACCTTAAAACCCTAAAACCCTAAAGCCCTAAACCCTAAAGCCCTAAACCCTAAACCCTAAAACCTAAAACCCTCTAAAACCCAAGACCTTGAAACCCTAGATAGATAGAAACCAGGACTGCAGAGGTTCGACTCCTCTGCGACTTGCACTCAAGGACAACAACCTGGAGCTCGCCGGCTCCTGGGTTTCCTTTTCGAAGGGGTGTAGGGTTTGGGGTTTGGGGTTTTGGGGTTTAGGAGTTTAGGGTTTAGGGTGTAGGGTTTAAGGTTTAGGGTTTGGGGTTTAGGGGTTTAGGTTGTAGGGTTTAGGGTTTAGGTGTAGTTCACCATTTAAATAAAGGTTTAGGGTTTAGGGTTTGTCCGTAGTAAAGCATGTAAATTGGAGGCTATTGTTCAACGTACTTTTGGCGTTTCGGAATTTCGCGTAACAGTAAGTAACATGACTTCCTTACTCTGGTAACTTAAGTTAAGCTCCTTGGACAAAGAACCCAGGCTTGCTCATCTCAGCTGGTGCAGGGATCAGCGGAGCTCAGCGTGAGGCTTTCGAACCCGGCAACTTGGAAGTCGCCAACTTGTTGCTGCAAGCAGGCATTGATGTGAACGAGCCGGGTGATGATGGCAGAACGCCCCTACACTGGGTGTGCCTTCGTGGTCATTTGACGGTTCTGCATCTTCTCTTGGAAGCGCGGGCTTCGATCAATGCTACCGATTCCCGAAATGCCTCACCGCTTGTTCTCGCAGCTGACTGGGGGAAGGCGGCTGCAGTACAGATGCTCATTGAGGCGGCATCAGACTTAGATCAAGCGACGGCCAGCGGAAAAACTGCTCTCCAGATTGCACTGGGCAACCGGCGCTTAGACATCGCGCGACGGCTATTGGAAGCTGGGGCTGATTGGAGCCCGTCTCCAGATTCGCATCAAGCACCGGCCTTGCTAATCGCATCCGAACAGTTTGACTGGTACATGGTCCGTTTATTGCTGGATGCAAGAGCCAGCGTAGATGCTGTTGATGCTCTTGGGCGGACAGCTTTGCACCACGCATTTCAGAAGCCGCAGGACGTAGAATCCATGGACATGGCCCGCTTGCTGATAGAAAGGACAGCAGATGTGAACAAGACGCGCGATGCGGAGGGCTGCGCCCCTTTGCATTGGATGTCACAGGCTGGCAGGTCAGACAGGGTGCCTTTTCTGGTGGAGGCAAAGGCCGATCTCAACCTAAAGAATTGCAGAGCCGAGACGTCCCTGCACTTGGCAAGCAGAAGTGGCCACCACGGAGTCATCAAGCAGTTGCTGGACAACGGAGCAGAGACAGACTTGGCTGACGCCAGAGGCAGGACGCCTCTTTTGAGGGCGGCAGAACTGGACCATCCAGAGGCTGTTAGCCTATTGCTTGCATATAGGGCGGATGTGGAGCGGGCTGATGTCGACAGTTTCACAGCCTTGTTTGAGGCTGCTGGCTGTGGCAACCTTGAGTGCACTCGACTGCTGATCCAGGCTCGTGCTGATGTGAACAGGGCCAGCTTAGCCAACGGAGCCACGTCGCTGCAAATTGCACAAATGAATGGCAATCATGCAGTTGCAAGACTGCTTACAGATGCTGGGGCATCTGGCGCCAGATCTGCTGGATACCCGGGAAAGTGAGAGACAGAAGTAACAGCTTAACAGCGTTTTGATGTTTATATGCCGCGTACAAGCCAATATAGCAACCTCTATCACAGCCGTTCAGTCCTTCTGACCAAAGATCAAGGTCGCGCACTATGGCCTGTCGAACCCGGTGTACAGCAGGGGCGAGGCAGAAAAGTTGTGTTGCACAGTGACACACGTGCATGCGAACATGTGAACAACATGGAATGCAGGTGTTGGAAACACGAACGGATTCATCCTACATCACTATACCCGACACCCTAAACCTTCAGCGCCTACAAAGCCTATATAAGCCTAATCCCTAAACCCTAAGCCCTTTGTTTGCCCTATAAGCTAAATCTTTAGACTCCTACACGACTCTCAGTCCTGATTTTCAAAGCCCCCTAAACCCCAAACCGTAATCCCTAAACCCTAAATCGGCCCTAAAAGTCCTCAAACCCTAAACCCTAGCCCTATAGTCCCTAAATCCTGAACCTCGCCCTGCTTGTCCGAGTTGTGAGAGCGTAATCCTTACACCCCCATCCCTAAACCCTAAGATCTCTTACTTACCCGACCCACTGAGGCCTGGGAGCCCTATCTATGGTGAGACGGTGCTCCGGCAGCTCGCCACGCCCGTTACGCCGGATCTACAGGCCCCTGAGGGGCCCAGGGCCCGTTGGGGGTTTAGAGTTTAAGGTTTAGGGGTTTTGGGGCTTGGGGCTGGAAGGGGGCTGAAGTGTTCGATGTAGAAGCCTGACAGAAGAATTCTCATTTTGATTCCTTAGGACCCCGAATTCCTGTTCTATTATACTAATATACCCCAAAACATGTTCAAATCTTGTTTTAGAACCCTTGAAAAGGAGCCCTGTTCGAACTATGAAGCCCTTCTATTGGGGTTTTGGGTGAAGGGATTCAAAACAAGATCTGAGCTTCGGCTGTAGGGAGATTGAGCGTTCCTGTTGAGGTTCCTTTAAGGGATCTAAGACGTTACCATAAGAACTACTAGAAGGTACCATGAGCAGAACGTACTTTAGAGTTTAGAGTTCAGGGCTTGGGTTTCGGATTTATACAGGGTTTACCAGCATTGAAGGTGGGACGACAGGAAAGCGGATCGAATAGCACGTTGTGCAGTGTGTCTTAACAGGAGGTGGAGGGTTTTTCTTGATGACAAGGACGGGTAAGGACGGGCTTCCATGGCAAGGCAGTTCTGAAGCTGCTTCCCCAAAACCAAGGCCGTAAGCCCAAACTAAATCCTAAACCCTAAATCTCAACTGAAGATCGTATTTTCAGGCCGGAAGGGTTCCAGCGGAGCCTATGGGCTGAAAGGTAAAAGTATGTTTTATAACGACTACTCATGACCCCTTGAACCCTACAAAGGGGGTCAAACTGCAAAACCCTACATTGAAAACAGGCACCTCAAACGCTTAATGACATGGCCTTAAACTCTTAACCCGAACCTCACCAAAGCCCTTGTCTTTGTGTTGCTGCCATCGCTTTTGGTTCCCATGTCGTATGGCTCTGGAGTTCTAGACTCTTGGCGTTCGCCTGCAGAGGGGCCAATGCATCCATGTGCCTTCGAAGAGATCCTTGCCACCATCCAAGTCCTAAGCCCCAAAATCCTAGACCTTATAAGCCTAAAACCCTAAAACCCGAAAACCTTAAAGCCCTAGACCCTATAAGCCCTATAAAACCCTAAACCCTAAAGCGCTAAAACCCTAAGACCCAAGGTCCTGATTTGGTATTGCTTCTTTTGTTTTCCCCACTGCAGCACGAGACTCCAATACCCCCTAAGTCAGGAATAGACCTTAAATCTTATTAGGGTTCCTATGATAATTTATAAAGGTACATAGACCCGAAACCCTAAACCCTAAACCTTAGTTAAGGGATATTGGAGTCTCTGGGCAGCGCGAGGCGCCTTTCTCCTTGGATGCCCCGAACGTGGAAGGAGCCGAGCTTTCCGGAGCGCCTAGAATCCGGGTTCAGGGTTTAGGGCTTTAGGATTTTAGGGGTTTAGGGCTTTAGGGTTTAGGGCTTAGGGTTTTCGGATTTGAGGCTAGTATCACGGTTTCATGTTTCAGCAGGCTCCGTTCAACGGTTCTGTAAGGGTAGATGAAGGGTTCAATGGTTTAAGGTTCTGAATTCTGGAAGAGGGTTTTGCGCACCATCTCAGTATAGCGATTCAGGGAGTACAGGGAATACGTTAGTTATTTCTACTTGGTCAGGCCATTCAGGTCCTTTCTAACTTAAATTACATGACTCAAGATCCCAATCAGGGCTTCTTATTTGGTTGTCAATTGCTCTGTAGATATTTAGAGTATCAGCTTTAAGGGCTCCTCACCCCTTACTCCACGGATGATGTAGTACTCTTCTAAGATTCACTTGTTGGTTGTGATGATATAAAGAGATCTTTTGTCATTACGATTTCGAGAAATTCAGTGCTGGGCTCCCTGATTCAGCAATCCTACAGTTGCAAGAACCCTCAACCAAAGCGCTTGGGTGGCTACGTCTTAGACTGTTATTTGCGTTCTGCTCCATGCCAAAAGCCAAAGGGGTCTCTGACCCCACTGTCGTAACCCTGAAAGAACCATTTAATTCACCCTTTTCGTTTGATTCAAATTGTGGTCAAGGCCCCTTTGGATATGCTTGTTCCGCAGCTTTGGAGAGGACGCCTGTTCCCGGTCCGGGGAGACAAACTTCCGCGGGTTTGGCGGCAGCGTCCCTTTAACAATCTGCAAGGCGGGCTGTGAGCGTTTTTTTAAAGTTGTCTTCTAAGGCTGCTGTAAGGGTATAAACCCTAAGCCCTATATAACCAGTAAACCTAAATTGTAAGGTTTCCCCTGAGGGTTCTCTGCGGCTTATAAAATTTTCGCGTGGCAGTTCCGTCCAGGAGGCTTCGGGCTGTTGACTTGCAGAGGTCGAGACCGTAGGGGTTTCTTCGTCGTGGGGTGTCGGCTTTGGGTTTTGGGGTTTAGGGGTTTCGGGTTTTCTAGGTCCCCGAAGTCTTAAAACCTACCCGAAAGCGCTCTGAGCCCGATATGCGGCCACAGTCGTTTTGTTTTTGCACAGCAGGTTATCGTGTTTGGAGGCATGAGTCCTGCTTGGAGGTCAGAGATACTCCCTTGGCGCCTGTGCAGCTTGGCAGGAAGAGGACCAGCCATTTATAAGTAGTCCTTCTATTTAGATGTATACACATACAATGCCAATGAACACGTGAACAGATAAGTGAGGTATCTAAATATAAATATACACAAATAAATATACATATATATATATATACACGCACACATTATACATGTGTGTATCACAGTCTACCTTACGCCACCCCCCCCGCCCTGAACAAGATTGTTCGACCTTCTGCAACACCATTAGGCCCCATAGAACCTTCAAATAACCTTGCACAAACACATGACGAAGTCCTTGTAAAAAGCTCTGTCGAGCCCGTTTACAACCTTGCAAAAATCCTGCCGAACCCTGTTCAACCATACAACACCCGTCATACAGAGACAGATACATAGCCTTGGAACGCCCTTCAGAACCCCAAGCCGTTCCGAACCCATATTCTACCCTTAACCCCTAAACCCCTAAACCGCTAAACCCTTAAAACCCTAAACCCTACACCCTACACCCCCCTACAGCACTCAGGTCATCACCGACCCGGCGAAGGCTTCACTCCCTGCCAGGGCACGGGGCTGCTCAGAGGCATTTGGTGTTTCCTAGCTTTGTTTAGGGTTTAAGGGTTAGGGTTTAGGGTTGAGGGTTTTTTTTTTTCCGGCTTGATGGGGCTTTATAGGGTTGAATTTTGGTTGTGTAGGCTTCTTGTAGGGCTCTTTTACATGCGGGGCTCTAGGGCTAAATTTGTGATTTTTTGTGGTTGAAGGTGCGCGGGGCGAGGACGTAAGGGTTTCCAAGGGCCTTGGGATTTGAAGGGCTGGAAGGTGAAAATTTCGGGAGATTCAGATTGTGTGCTGGGTTACATCCTCAGGACAAGCTGCTCGGTTTAGGGTTCAGGGCCGTTTAGGGTTTAGGGTTTAGGGTTTAGACTGCTCGGTAGCAAGGTGTATGTAAATGTCCATGCGCATGACTTCTGACTTACACACGCATGGGCAGGACGATCATATGTACCAATACTCACAGGAATTAGGGGTTTATAGCAGTTTGTGTAATGTAGTGCTCCCATTTTTGAAGATTGGGGAGTGTATTCTAGAGGATAACAGACGTCGTAGCTGACCTTTGGCAGAGTAGCGGTTGAACATCGGGAGCCCGAATTCTCAGGGAGTTGGCACTGGATGGGCTTTGCCTCCACGTACTTCTTCGTGTGCCCCGGCTGGCAAGACGGCGTAGCTGAGACTAAGAAGACGGCGTATCTGCAACTAAGAGGACTCTGATTTCCTTACACGGCTGAAACATTTGATGGTAGACTCTCCGTGGAGTTAGCCTACTAAGACCTACTATGCAGTTGCAGGGTTTTCGGTTTTATGGTTCCGGTATGGAGGAGTCCTGGGCGTGGTTTCAAAAAAAGGATCAAGTGAAGCCCTAAGGCCTACATGGGTCTAGGGTTGAGAGTTATGGAGCCACCATCCTTGAACTGTTCGTTGGACTAGTGCTGTATCGTAGCATTGCCAGCCCTAGATTGTCGTAGCTCGTTTTGAACCACTGTTTCATCTGCACAAAGTCATAACGGCAGCAAGGCAAGGAACTACCACCATAAGTAAACCCTAACACCCACATCCCTATACCCTTATCCCGAGCACTACAGAACCCTTGTAAAGCCATGCGCGGACCATAGGATGCCTTATAGACCCTTTTCTACACCTTTCCAGGTAGAACCCTTCGAGAACCCTGAATCGATTTTTGTCCAAAACCGAAGAGTTTTGCAGAAACATGCCGAGCTATGCCTCCGCTGAAATCTGAGTCAGGGGTTTCTGGGGTTTAGGGTTTTGGGGGTTGGGATTTGGGGTTCTTGTTGGTTGCCCTGCGAAGCAGAATTTTGTGACTCCGTTGTATGTGGTGCAGCCATATAATAGTGGGCTGTAGGCTGTTAGATCAAAAAAGATCCACAAATCGGGTTTGGGATTCAGGTTTTGCCGGAGTCCATCCTGAGCACCTAAATTCGCCACACCTCCAACCTATCTGAAACCCAACGCCCGAAGGCCCGAAGCAGCTAGATAGTATTGTTTTTTCTTCAGACCCCGAGTATGAATCCTTGAAGGTAATTCCAGTGCTCAACTGCTGCCCTTCCCCCCAAACCTGGGAACCTGAAACCCTAAACCCTGCGAGTGTGTGAGTACCCATAGGCTCCATGGGTAAGAACCCTAAAATCCTAAAACCCTATAAACACTACACCCTAAAACCGTAAACCCCTACGCCCTAAACCCTAAAACAGCCAGAGCCTCAGGAATCCACAGGAAGAGCTCGCTGCGTGCTTTTTGTCGCAGGCGAAAGGGAGGTCTAGGAGTTTAGGGTCGGGCTAGCCACTGCGCACGAATTTTATTCCTTAGGGCTCCTGGCTCCTTATCGTAATTATTGTCAATTATTGTGTATTATCTAATCACCTATCTGTCTGTCTATCTATCTATCTACCTACCTGTCTATATATATACATATGTATAATATATGTAATATATATATATATACCTACATACATACATACATACATACATACATACATACATACATACATACATGCGTACATACACACACATACATACATACATACATACATACATACATACATACATACATACATAACATACATACCATACATACCATACAGATACATACAGATACATACAGATACTTGCATATACACATACACACACACACACATATATATATATACACATACTGATTAGGGCTTCAGACTTTCCAGGCTACCTAGGACCCAGGGCTGCAATCTTAGAGCCTTGTCTTAGTTAATCTTATGGTGTCCATCTCAACGGTGGGGTTTGTGGGCTTAAGGTTTCGAAGTGTGTGACTCAGATCTGAAGGTTCGACTCGAAAGTGTGAGTTAGGGTTTATAGGGTTTAGAGTTTAGGGTTTTAGGGTTCAGGTTTAGGGTTGAAGGGTTTAGGGTCCCGGCTGGTTGCGAGAGTCCTGGATGCAAAAGGGTTCAGGGTTGAGGGTTTAAGAGTTAGGGTTTAGGATTGAGGGCTCCGGGGTTCTCACAGGAGGCCGAAAGGGTGTGTGTGCCTAAATGTCGAATGCCTCTTGAGTTGATCCAAGGTTTGTGTTCCTGCAGAGATGGTGCGAGCGAGTGTGTTAGCCGAAACTAAGCCCACGGGCCCTGAAAAACAAGTCGCGAAACCTCAAGACGTAAGACCCTCGACCCATCGGGTCGCCACGAGGTGGTGTCCCATCAGGCCTACCCCATCCTGGAGGAGCGAGCTGCAGCCGTTTCGGGATTTAAGAGATCAGATATAAGGGCTCCCTTCATCGAATCGAACTGTCCACGTGCCCTAGCCCTTAAGCTTCATAAGTTTCCTTATCCCACTTTGGGATAGAGGGAGCTGCGATAGAGGGTCCAAGTATCCAAAATGGCAAGGGCTTATGTCACAAGAACTACCCTAAATCCGGGGTAGGCGGGCGCTGGTCGGGCTTGCCTACCCCTACAAGCACGCTTAGGCCGAGTCAGCCTTGG